CAAATATTGGAGTTAAATAATTCTCGTATAAATATCGAATCGAATATTAAAGAACCAATGAATGATTATAATTTATCTTTTTATTATTACTTTTCCATATCTATATTCGTTTTTTTTAATATTGATTCATTTTTATCCACCATTGTAATGCGATGCTTTTTTTACTTCTCGCTTAGTCCATGTTCCTCATATTAATTTCTTCATTAATATCATCAACAGATTTGTATCTCAACACGCACGCGACAATATACACGCGACAATATGCACGCGACAATTAATCACGAGAAAAAGAAATTATAGAAACCTTCAAATTTTCTTGATTAAAATTAAATAACAACTTTCATTTTGTGAAATGATAAGCATTTTATATACATAAATACATAATACATAAGATAAATAAATATATATATAGGAAATTTTTCTTTACCATAACTTTATTCCTGGATAATAAATTGTGTTTTGAGAAACAAACTATCTAGCGAATATTCGATTTATGCATGTGTCTCGAAATTGCGATCGCAATATGACCCGAGATTCACAATTCTATATAACGATTAATGCGGTTCGTTACCTCGATCATTGACTAACACGATTGTTACGTAAGAAATCCAAAAATAAAATAGCTCTCGTAAAGAGAGAAAAAGGGAACACGTGTGATTGGTAATCGGTTCAAAATGATTCAAATTTAAATTGTATCAGAATATTTTCAGATTTTTTTTTCAATAATATCGATAATATTATAATTGAAAGAACAATACTTGTCTAATTTGAAAATATATAAAGTTCACAACTCAATGATTTAATTACATATAAATATTTCTTTTATAAATAATATTTGCAATAATATATTACAATATAAATAACATCCATAATAATGTATAATACAATGAATATTTTGGAAAAATTATATATTTTAAAATTAATATTGCCCTATTCTATTACTAGGAAAGGACAAAAATTAACAACAATTATTTTTATATTTTTTAATTATCATTATATGTTCCATACAAATGAAACATTTTATGCTATTCATTTGGGATAATTACTTTGGGATTTGGGATCACGGGGGCATAAGCCACTTAAGTTACGTGCCAAATGTCATTACATTACCGGTAATTTTATTACATGATTATTCGTTATTCCATATAAATATGCATGTGTTTATATATACGCGTTAAATAATAAAGAAAAAAAAAAAAAAGAACAAAAGAAAATCGAGTTAATTGGAAACGCGCAACATTGAATCGCGCGATCGAGTCGAGAGGTCGATCGAATCTAAAGGAGAAGCAGAGACGTCGGACCAGTGAACCAGGGCAAGCCGTGATCCATCATCACGTGTATCGCCACAGCTGTTTTGGCAGTCAGCTGGTCCGGCCTATTCGTGCTCGTACAGCGTATCTCTTGCACGCCTTCGTGTCGGTCATCCTTCGTGTCAAACCTACGATAAGGCTTCGTGCATACTGAATCATTCTGCTGAGTGAAACGAATATTTTTTTTTTTTTTTTTTTTCTCGCGATGATCGTATTTCATTACTACACAATCCGTATAAATATTGGCGGACGTTCCCCCGTTTTATCGTAAACTGTGGACATCGATCAATAAAAAAAAAAAGCATCAATGTGGAAATTATCGATAACTCTTCCATATTCAAACACACGAACTTTCTTTTCCTTTACCATTATTTTTTTCGAGACATCGAAAGTCCCTGACTTAATGGCGGGGACGTTCGAGGTGTATATGCAAATAGAGCCAGTTTTCCTCAATCTGTTTGTATCTCTCATGTTTATCCATTATGTATGGAGCCTAAAATGTGTAAGCCGGAATTGGGTGGAGATCAATGAGATTGAAGTTGAAATCGAAATTTCCACGTTAATCGGAGCAACTAGGCCTGCGGGACAGATATGCAACGACTAAGCCGGTAACGTAATGGCTGAAAGTCCGAAAGGCCGAAAGGCCGAACGATGAGCACACATCGAAGTCTAAATTTAGACACGCTCGTGCTGCTTACTTCCGCTTATTTTAGCTTAGGGGCCAACCGTTTCAACCAAGCTCAACGTTTCGTTTCTTCCTTTCGATCTCGCCATTTTCTCTTTCGTTCGATATTTTCTTTGTTTGAAAATTTCCGTTGGAAATTATTATCAGAGCTATCATTTCTTTCGACAGGATCTCCGCGTTGTCCTGGTGAAGTGATTAAACAATTATAAAGACGATAATCGATAAAGAATACGAACGTATTAATTTAGAATGTGTTTCAAAATTGTGCAACTTGCGTTTCTGCTTTGTGAAATTCCATGCTGTTGCGCAGTTCGATCGAATTGAGTACTGCGCACGCGCTCATATACAACCTCATTTATGTATGCACTAATTTTCACGATAAAGCTACGTACGCAAATTCCTTCGTCCCTCTGATGTTTACAATTTTCATCGACGTTATCGATGATTGTCATCAATCTGTTAATATATTATTATTTACGTTACGAAATACGAAGATATGGATCATTGAAAAAAAAGAAAGGACGAGTTATTTTTCTAATTTCTGATATTCTCAATATTATTAAATTATTTTTTGATATTCTAAAAATGATTTCGATGTTTCAGCGAATATATATTTGCGCGTTTTGATTCGAGGATCCAGTGTGTTTATCATTTTTCTCGTACTTGAAAGGATTTAGAGAATTATTCGAAACTTTTTGTTTTGGTTAATCATTGCTATTACATAAAAATTACATGAAAATATTTAAATGTCGCTGGTGATATAGATAGGAATATTTGACGAGCAACGAACTTTTTCAATTGGACAAACGATAAACGAGGGTGAGGATATATAGGTATGCTCATTTTGATGTTGAACAATTATGTAACGGGTGTGCGTCATAAAATGCCGATGTCTACGTATCAGTGCGACGTTGGTCGAACCGCGAAACGACCGCGAGTTGTGTCGCAACAAGTGCGAGCGCTAATAATTCTGTCGTTTAACCTTGAACATCGATTAAAGCATCCTTCGTATCGGTATGCCTCTTGTTGCCGTAGAAACGTTACATATATATAGATATTACCGCACGTGCACCGTTCACCGTGTATAATCGTTTACAAATGATGTGACAAAACGGGGATATTCATTTGTACATTTGCAATTAATCGAAGATAAATTCTTAATACTGCAATAACTTTATAGCTTTTTACTGCATATTGTGTTTAACGAAAGATATCTTTTGTTTTTTTTTTTTTGTTTTTTTTTAAGACTGCTAACAATTCTAAAATAAAATGCGCGCATGCGATTGAATATCGTATTATACGTTACGTTAAGTTAAGTCTATAACAGATATATATTAAATAAATAGCAGGTATTTTCCACGTTAAATTGGAGTATTAATGCATATCGAACTTTTAAATAATGAAATATAATTAACGATAGTATATAGATACAATATTATGTTTGTGTTGCAAAATTGTAATGGAGAAGTGTGACGATGACGAAGAGTGTTATCTTTACTGAGTCCCACAGATATATATATATATATA